CATAATCTCCATCGTTGACAGGCTGCAAGAAGCTAACCACTGCCATGCTGACGCCATAACAAGCTGTTGCGTAAAGCTGTGAAGCTGCCTCCGCCACCATCGTGCGAAGCCACCGCCGCCGCAGCGTGTTGCCGCCTTGTCCGACCCAGCAAGCGCGAAGCCGTTCCGAGGATTCCGACTCGATCGTCGGATCCCGTCGTTTTTGGGATCTATTTCCAATCCTGATGGACGGATTTGGGATCTATTTCCTTCTGTTCTTTGCTTTTCTGTCCTTGATGGCTTGATGCATGCGAACAATTTGTCTCCAGAAAGCTGGACAGATGAATTTTAGTTGTGCGGCGAAGCAATTGTGCTAATATTTGTATCTGGACATTAACATATGAGTTCGCAGTAATTATGTGAGGACTAATTGCAGTTTTTTCTCCCAGGCCATAGTAGCCAACGAATCAAGTAAAGTCGTAGGATACCTGTATAGACCAAAAGGCACACGGGGCCTGACGGCCCAGCCCATGGCATGGGGTTTCGGCCCGGCCCAAACACAACACGGTCTGACTGGTGTTGGGCCCATGCTAGCCTGACATGTCCTTCGGGCCGTGTCTGGGCCTCTGCCTCGGCACGATGGACCGGCCCGGCACGGCCTGGTCCAACAATTAGGGAGGCAAAATAGATGAGGGAGACAAAATAGACTTGTTACAACCATATAAGGCACAACCAAAAGAGATGAAGAATGCAAGATAGACTTATTCCATCCATCTTCTCAAAGAGATGAGGGAGAAAAAATATACTTTATCTAAGAAGGAGCAAACGAGCTTTTGTGTCTTCTGGCCAGCTTGGCCCAGCCCGGCGTATAGGTTGGGCCATGCTAGTCCGACTGATCTCGGGCCTAAGCCCAATCGTGCTGGGCCAAGTGGCCCATTTGGCCATCTATAGCTGCCTGACTAGATAAAATTCATCTACTGCATATGTGCTTAGCATGCATGCAAATTTCTATTTCTCAGATATGGTGCTCAGGGGCACCAACCAAATACACTTGAACTCTTTCTGAATTATAATACAATAAGTAATTAATCGCTTCATTCCATATTGATCATCGTATATAGTTTTTATCAAGACCCAAAAAATTTTAACTACCATATATTTTATTTAATGTGAGTATGTGGTGGAAAAGAACCAAGAAACATGTAAAATTTAACTCCCCGCATACACAATAATCGAGCCTTTGACTACCTTAAATGTGTACATGCATGCATGCGTAATCAATTTGATGCACATATACAATAAACCCTACAATTATAATCATGCACATTAAAGGAGGGTGTGATCAATTTTTTTTTTGGCTATATGATGATGAATATTCCCTCCGTTTTTAAATATTTGACGCCGTTGACTTTTTTAAATATGTTTGACTTTTTTTCGTCTTATTCAAAAAAAATTAAATAATTATTAATTCTTTTCCTATCATTTGATTCATTGTTAAATATACTCATATAGTTTTACATATTTCATAAAAGTTTTTGAATAAAACGAAAGGTCAAACATGTACTTAAAAAATCAACGTTGTCAAATACTCCTATTTAGAAACGGAGGGAGTATATAATAGATAGAGTATAAAATTATCTCTACATGTCACTTAATTATTGGATGTCTTATATGTCCATCTATAAATTGATTGATCCTTTAACTTTTGTTACTTACCATTGATATTTTCTATTATTTCGATATGCATCACTAATTAGTTAAAAGCCATAATCGTAGTCGAAAGTTGACGGTGACTGGGTGACAGCATTAATCAAAATGCTAAGATCTGCCCCAGGTTTCGCAACAGCTTTTGCACACAGGATTTCATAGCTTTTTTGCATCACCCCATCCTCTCGTTCATTCAATAATCTACTGACACGATACAACTAGTGTAAGATTAAACACACATTTGTAACTATATACTAGTGCATACAGCCATAGTTACTAGTGCTAGTACCAGTTGGTTCGTGCAAACCGGCCAGCGGCGCCGGCGCCCGCGCCACCCGCGGGCGCGTTTCGGCGCCGTACGCGACAGCGACACGCCCTGCAGGTAACCGGCTTATACCAGGCCGGCGCGCGCCGCCAAAGCTGTTAAGCGGTAAAAATTAAGAAATATCTTCTTCTAAGCTACTCAAGCTAGCTAAACTAAAGCAAAGGCAGGCAAAGACTAATTAATCACGACGAGTTAGTAATTAACCAGCAATCTTACATGGACTAGAGGCAAATTAATTTAAATAAGAGTAAAGACAGCGTCACATACCCTTTGGTAGTTTGGTTACCTCGGAGGACTGTGACAGCTAGGGATGATCGATCGATCGACACATATGATACTGACAGCGAACGCCGGCGACGACACCGTCTATTGCTAGCTATAGCTGGTGGTAATAATATCACCATCTTGGTTAACTAGTCCAATTATTATTACTCCCTCTGTCTCATAATAAGTGTAGTTTTATACTATTCACATTCAACGTTTGACCGTTCGTTTTATTTAAAATATTTTTATGATTAGTATTTTTATTGCTATTAGATGATAAAATATAAATAGTACTTTATATGTGACTAAATATTTTCAATTTTTTTATAAATTTTTCAAATAAGACGGACGGTCAAACGTTGGGCGCAGATATCCACGGCTACACTTATTTTGGGACGGAGGTAGTATTAATCTATAATAGTAACTCAAAACCGACTTGTTAATTAAGAGGAGAGTTTCAATATTGTGCGCCACCCAACACGGTCGTGGAAACGGAAGAGTGTTGAGAGAATCATGAAAGCTTGTATTATTCTCCATAATATGATAGTTGAAAATGAGAGAGGGGGGTTAAAATTCCTATTGATCTGAATGTGGACCCTGGAGCATCGGTTGCTCTTCCTCCTGAAGTAACTACTGGGCACAATCCATGCTTTGATCAGGTGCTGTGTAGGAAAACTGCAATACATGCTCGTGCACCACATTCCCAACTAAAAAAAGATCTAGTTGAACATATTTGGCAAAAGTTTAGCAATACCCGTCGTACTTAGTTGTGGTAGGACATTAAGCATCTTGTTTTCACATTTTCAATTACAATTGCAAGCATCTTAATTCACTTATCATTTTATTTATTTATTTCAGGGACAATGGAAAACTTTGGTGGTAGCTTTTTGGTGCTTTCTGCTATGGTTTTGGGAGGTATGTACATGTCTACTTGCACTGTACAGTCCAAAGAACAACATAATCAAATAAGTCCTTTAATAGTCCTTTTGTTTCTACTTAAAATAGTAGTACTACTTCCTTCCAGTTGTTTTGCCATCCAGATTATATGCTACAATTGTTCTATAATCATCAGCCTCCTATTTTCCATGGAAATAATGTTGCTTTAATGACAGGTAGTGAAGATGCTCAATTTGGCAGGCTAGCAGCTTGTTTTGGCTGCTTGAGAAAGATAATCTAGTTATAAAGTAATTTTTAGTAATTCGCTGGTGTCATGTAAGAACAATTGTGTTGTTACCATCTATTGGCAGTATGGATCGTTGTAATGGCCTAATTTCTTTTATCGAATGTTGATGTATGGATCATTGCAACAGACTAAGTTATTTTGTCGGTCTATGAATTAGTTATTTGTCAATCTGTGAATATTCTTTCGATCAAGTAACAATCTGAATCACTATTGTACTGTTTAGTTCGAATGAATTAGTTCGAATGAATTAGGAATATTACACCATTGTTGTTGATAAATCCGTCTGCTTTGTGATAAATCACATGGTTTATTTTTTTATTGATTGAACATAGTCTTCCGTCTATGGTTGACATATAAGTGGCTACTCAAGTGATGTTTACAGTTGATCCTACATAACTTGAAAGATACAATTAGAGAATTAAATGCAGCTTGCTTTGCTAGAGACGGCTTAGAGCATGTACTATCTTATTGTAAATGTCGTCTGTTAAACCATCTATAGATGATGTGGAGGATACTAATAGTAAGATGTTTACTCTATTATTACCCTTGCCCTAATTAGTAGTAGAACTTAATTAACCGTCTTTGTCAGCGATCGATTCGCACGTCGCGTCGCGGGGGCATGTGGCCCGCATGCGGTGTGCGGATAGATGTGAGTCGACGCCCACGTCACCCCCGCCCCGCCTGATGACCCGCACGCAGCGCAGGCTAGCTAGAGCTTATCCGTAGTGCCTGCCTGCATCAGTGGCGACGGCGAGAGAGACAGAGATCCAACTGCGTGACTTGTCTCGTCTCGTCTCACCGCCGCTGGAGCGCCAAACCGCGGCTCTTTGCTCTACGCATATGCGCCCTTTTGTACGGATATAGATTTCATCCTGGTTGTTTACATATCGTTTAAATAGTTATTAAAAAATCTTAAAAAATTGACAACATAGATTGATATGAAATATATTACTCCACAAACATGCAAGACCAAATTTAACTTCTATAAGTTGCAACAAAAATAAAAAATTAAACTGTAAATAGCTATAGTACATTTGCATCTATATTTGTTAATTTTATTACAAATTGTACAAGTTGAATTTTAGCTTGCATGTTTGTAGAGTGATATATTTCATGGTAACCTATCTTTTTATTTTTTTTATTTTTTTAAATAACTATTTATATGGCATGCACGATTATATGGGATGCACGAATGAGATGATACCCTCGAGTGAAAAATCACTTCCCTTGTACTCCTACTACTACTACCTCCTTATCCCGATTTCCAACCTAATTGCTACGCCATACCGCTACGAGAGACCGACCCGACGTTGTTGTGCATGTTGAGAACTCAGAAATTTTAATTCTAAGATATCAGGCTAAGTGTACATGTACATCGTATCATGATTAATTGAGTTGATAATGATAAATATGATGCATATTCTCGATAATTCTAAATAGAGAAAATTCATGCTGGTGTGTCTTTGGGGGAGGAAGTAAATAGTATGCCAAAGTTGACCTAATTACGTGTACTCCATATATATGAGAATTCGATCGGAGCAGTACTTGCCTGCCAAAGCAACACAAGTAACTATGCAACACTTGTCTTATATGTTGCATTGCATACTTTGTACACTGCTATTTTCTTGAGGGCACTCTGTTGCCAAGCTTTATTTCAGATCCCATCAACAAGATCGAATAGAGCTTTGCAAAAAGTGGTGTTTTATATTTTGGATGATAGATCATAACCTATTATTGAATGAATGTGTAACTTATTAGTCTATCGGTATATCATGTTCTCATGTCCCTAACTAGAAACTTGACATAGCATGTTCTGTTGTTTTTTTGTTTCACAAACATGAAGCATGTAGTGAGTGTATGTTTATATGTTTTCCTCTAAACCAATGAGCCTGAAGGTTGTTGCTTTTTGTTACGCTTCAGTACGATTTGTAACGACAATCAAACTGATGGCTATCTAATCTGTACTCTTTGCTCTGCCCTTGTTAAACTAGTTTGAGAGCCTGTCGTCATATGGAGACAAAGTTATTGCTACAGGCTTGCCTGCATCACCAGGAGCTGCTGTAGGCCAGATTGTCTTCACAGCTGACGATGCTGAAGCATGGCATGCACAAGGAAAATCTGTCATTCTGGTACTCACCTTTGATATTGAATTTATCTCCAGTCTAACTCTCTATAGCTCAATTTGGAAGCTATAAGATCAACATATTCTCCTGTCCTGATCATAATATAACATTCTCCTGTGTAAAAATTAAGGTGAGGACGGGCATCGGGCTGTCGGTGCCGCCGGGGTTCACGGTGTCGACGGAGGCGTGCCAGCAGTGGACCCATGTGGACCACACGTCATCCTCACTAACCTCTTCTCTCTATCCTCTCTCTCCCTCTTCTCTCTCTCCAGCCGACGGAGCGGGGTGGGCGGCGGCCGGAGCGGGCGATGGCGGGGCGGAGCCGAGGAGCGAAGCGGCGCGCCGGCCGGCGGGGGAGAAGTCGCGGCGCGGCGGTGGCCGGAGGGGCGTGGGGCGCCGACCGTTGGGAGCAGAGGAGCCGCCCGTGGCCCGCGGCCGTCTGCGGGTGCGTGCCGGCGTCCACCTTGATGTTGGCGTTGCCGTTGGCGACCAGGGCCTTGAGGTCGGCCTGCTCGTCGCCGGCGACGAAGCGGAGCGGGCACAAGCCCGCGCTCCACTTCGACCTCCATGAGCTTGGAGAAGACGCCGACCATGGGCGCCGTGTTGTACGTGCAGGCCTCCGTCTGCATGTACGCGTTGCGGTGGTCGACGAACACGTCGTTGCTGTTGGGCCCGCCGATGACAGCGTCGACGAGGTCGTGCGACTCCCCCCCCCCCCCCCGGCCGCGCTGTGGAATGAAAGCATACTGCTCGACTACCTGGTGAAATAGCTCTTCAAATCTACAAGCAAAATTACAGACATGTGAATCAATGACAAATTGTGCATTATACTTTTACAAATTGCAATGTTTTCACTTATCATTTGTCAAATACTCAAGAAATGTTACACTTTTATGATGCCAAAGCCTTTTCTTTCCCCTATCTATCCATTTGTGCTGAATCGTTTCACTTCAAAAAAATTTGTGTTGAATCGGGCTAGTTACTTTGCTGCCTTGCCCTTGCTAACTCGTTGGTGTTGCTGCCTGCTCGGCTTAGAGCTGGGCTGTTGCGCGCAGGCGCGCAACCGTGTAGGCCAGGTGGCACTGCGGCACTAGGAGCATGCGAGCACCGCCGCGCCGGTCTGCAGTCTGCAGAGGCTCGCCGCCTAGCCTGGACGCCGCGCCCACACCGTCCACGGCTACACTCAATTCGACGCGATTGGGGTTTTGGAATGGGGAACTTTCGACCAATGGCCGGCGTTGTGGGCGGCGCTGCCGGGGTCGCCGGGGGCGGGGAGCAGCGGTGGTGGTGGGCACGAGTGCGGCTTCAAGAACCTGTTCATCGGGGACTCCGGCGTCGGCAAGAGCCGCCGACCCCGCTCCATCGGCCGGAGAGAGATTAGGGAGAGAGAGGATAGAGAGTATCCACATGGGCCCACCATTTTTTACTTATTTGTGTGTGAAACTAACATGTGGGTCCCACGTATTTTATTTTTTTCCGATCTAATTGCTACATAAGCACCACGTCAACGATACGTTGGACAAAGACCTGGTCAAAAGGAGCTATGTAGGCGCCATCTCAGCCAAAAACGGGTACAATACCACCGAGGGACTTTATTTAAACGGTTTCGTTAGGTTGGGGGACCCATCGTACCGGTTTTGTGAATAGGGGATGAAAATCGGATTTGGCGACAAATAGAGGGACCCAAAGTGAACTTATTCCTCCTTTTTATTTTCGGAAGGAATAGGTCCATTTTGACTCCCTTAACTATAGCTTAAATCTGATTCATATCCCTAAACCGTAATACCGGATATCTTGACCTTAACTGTTAAAACCGGTGCAATTTGACTCCCTTGATGATTCTAGAGAGCAGTTTCGCTGATGTGATGCTTAGACTTGTCTAACCTGCTAAGTCATTATGTAGGGCCCACACATCAGTGTCACAGTCTATCTTTTCCATTACTTTCCCTCTCCTTTCAGCACCCAAGATGGCTTCGTCCACGGTAGAGGTGGCCAAACGGGCGGCCCGGCCCGGCACGGCACGGGCACGGGTCCGGCACGGCCCGTTTCGGCACGGCCTGTTAGGCACGGCTCATGAAACGGGCCGTGCCGTCCCGACCCACGTGCCGAGCCGCCGGCCCAAGCACGGCCCGTGGATGGCCGGGCCGTGCCCGTGCCGGCACGGCATGCGTGTGGCCCGCCGTGTCAGTTGTCACGCCCGGAAATTCACTAGTAATTTCCGAACTAATTTGTGCATAAAATCCTCGTCCAGGAATCAGCCGAGGTACACAAACTGACAATTTAATATACAAATCCATCTTAATAATAACGTTACATACTTACAAAGAAAAGAAAACAACAGCGGAATTAACGGTCTAGCGATGGCTTCAGCTCCACTCCCACAGGCAGCTCAACTGGGGTATAAGCCAAACGTCTTCTCCTTCTGGATCCTTTATCTTCAACTGAGGTTTGATGATTATTGCAAGAATGAGCATATGACATACTCAACAAGCCACACAGCAAATATGCAAGTGCACAAGGATTCCAAAGGATGGCATAATATAGGCTCATTTGCAAAAGCAGCATTTAGCAAAACATTTAAGAGAAGTAAAACAGTGAAGTGATTAATCATCAATTTTAATCAACACTGAACAGCACACCCATGCTGCACAGGCCCAACCATCCTGAACAACCATACCCGGCTGTACAGATCTAACTCCAAACCAGGAGCTAAGCAAATTATTACCAGTTATAGCATCCATAATTATTGTGAGAGGTGTGAGACTAATCACGAAAAACATTGCTCAACTCGCCCATAACCGCGGGCACGGCTATTCGAATAGTTTTACTCTGATCAGAGGTGTACCACTGTACCCACAAGACACGATTCCACACATGTTGCCATGCCCCGAAATACCACCACGGCATTGCAAAGGGGGAAATCGTGACAATACCCTTTGCACAACACAACTCAAAACAGTGCACCGTTCCTGGATCATAATCACCCCCTTATAAACAAGGCATGGACTCCCCAGCGACCCCCACGGACTTCTCGCCGCTTCTCAGTCTGGTGCCCCGTAATGAATCATGCTATACAAAAGGTAAAGCCGTTGCCCATGCTGGCTTGTGGTTGGCACGGTAAATGTTTCACAACAGTAGCTCGCGAACCGGTCCTTAATTGTCATGAGCACAACCATCAAAACCATATGCTCACAACCCACCTTAACCAGATTTTAAGTATCAATTAATTAACATCACACGATTAACCATCGTGAGCTACCATTAAATATAACCATAATTAATAAGAATAATATAATATAATTTATATTTAATCCCCTTTAATTAGCTAATGTTTCTAAGCATGGCTAAGCAAACATACATATAACATTTAGCTGAACCAAACCAATATATAAGGTTCATGCTAATCAAATTATAACCCATAGGAAAATAAGATCATCTTCGGCCATTAATTAACGGGGAAAGGTTCACCACCCGATGACATTCAAAAATAATGCATAGTTGAAATAAAATAATAGCTTTAAACGGGTTCAACATGCTCAAAGGATTGTGTTTAGGATCTGTGTGACTTGCCTTGCAATAATCGATCTTCAATTAATCTTCTTGATCACTTCCGACGCACTCACGAACCTTCGCAACGACGGAAACGACAAGCTAACACGCAAAACGAAGAAAAAAAACTAATAAAAACCAAATAAACAATACATATAAAGTAAACAAACATGTAGATCATGATTTTAGATGAATTATGAGACTTGAACAGCCTTATTCTGACTTCAAATGAATTTATTATGAATTTTACAAGATTAAATCTAATTAAAGCCCATTTAAAAAGAATTAAATAAATTTAATTCAATTTATGGACAATTTTAATATGTAGATCTTTATTTTAGAAAAATTTAGCAACTGGAACCACCTGAAACGGATCTACAGTTATTTAGTTATGATTTTCCGAAGATTTAATCTATTAGAAAAAAAGGAAAAAAGGAAGGATGATGATGTCATGCTGACATCATCCAAGGCAGCCACAGGTCGGCCGACGACCTCGCCGGCGCTATGGACCTTGGCCGGGCGATTGGAGGGCACCTACGCGTAGAGGACGACGAGGCGAACCCAACGGTACTCACCAAAACGACAAACGACGCACGACGACGGCCGGCGACGAAGAGGACGGCGGCGGCGGCTCGGCTTGACGGCGACGGCGGAGCTCCGGTGGCCGGCGGCGAAGGGGAAGGTGCGGCCGAGGTTCTCCTCACCACGGCGCACCTAACGGCAGCGGCGGCAAGCGGCGGCGACGGCTAGGGCGACGGCGCGGCGCGACTGGAGATCGCCGGCGACGGCTAGCGGCTAGGGCAACGTGGCGGCAGCGCTACGGGCGACGAGGGAGCTCGGGACTTGGGGCAAACGGAAGAGGACGACTAGGGGATGCTATTTATAGCATTGGATTGAAGAGATCGAACTCCAAACGAGAGGAATCGATCCGAGAAAATCAAAACTCGGTTTTTGAGATAAACTCGAAAACGAATTTGATTCGGATAAAATACACAACGATTTGCTCCAAATATTGAGGGAAAAGATAGAGGAGAACGAGAGGATAAAATCCCCTCAAAAACCTGGAGGAATCGGGGTCGGATTGAGGCGAATTTGAGAGGGGAAAGAAGGCGGCTAGGACTCGGCTCGGGCACGGCTTCGGCCGGAGGTTGAAGAAAGGCCTGACATGTGGGCCCCACATGTCAGTGTCCCACGAGAGAGAGAGCGGCGGCGACAGCTGGGCCGACTTGGGCCGGCTTGCCCGCGGGAGAGAGAGAGTATTAGGCCGAAATCGGCCCAATAACCTAAAGGAGGGGTTTTTGAACTTTTTCAATTAAAATAATTTATGAAATGTTGTTTCATTTATTAAAAATACTTTCCTTGCTCAAACAATTCCCAGAAAAATCTAGAAAATAGAGGAACAAGCAAAGTATTTAATAAAATTTTATCTAACCCAATTTTATATTGAGATTTAGCAAATTAAAATTAGATCTTCTCTTTTAAGCTTTTAAAATTGTTTCTAATAATTCCTTTTAAACAACAATTTATAATTTAAGGATTTTTAAACAAGAAAAACTCTTAACAATTATAATTAGATCATTTAATGATTAATTTAATATTCAAATAATTGCTGAACTTCTCTTTGTATGATTAAAATTAATAATTGAGCTCCGAAAAATCCGAGAAAATTCCAGAGAGTATAATTAACCATGGAGAATTTAATAAAAATTAAATCCATCCATGCTTTATATTTAGGAAATTTTATTTCCTACATTTAACTTCACTTGTAAATTATTGAACATTTAATATAAATTCTATTAATAATTTATTAAATAATTTATAAATCCTGAAACGGAATTCAGGCTGTGACATCAGTACGGGCCCGTGAATGAAAAATGGGCCGTGGACGGGGCACGGTTGGCCCAGGAACCGAAATGGCGCGGAGGGATGCGATGCGGACTTGCGGAGGTGGCTGGCGGGCTGGGCCATCAGCTAGGAGGGGTGCTCAACGGACTTGCGGAGGCGGCTAGCGGGCTGGGCCGTCAGTTGGGAGGGATGAGATACGGACTTGCGGAAGGATGAGATGCGGACTTACTACAGTAGCCGTGCCGTGCCGTGCCGGCCCGCGGGCTCGGCCGGCGGCCCAAGCACGGCACGGCTACTCGTGCCGTGCCGGCACGGCCCGTTACTGTAGCAGGCCGTGCCGGGCCGTGCCGGCTACAGGTTCCGCCGTGCCTCGGGCCGCCCGTTTTGGCCCGGCCCGTTTGGCCACCTCTAGTCCACGGTGACATCTCTATCTCTACTACTGCAATTCTGCATTTCTACTAGTAATATATAAAGTACTAGTTTCATCAACAATCCTGCAATCTGATCCACTTTATCGTGTGGGACCCAAAGTGAACTTATTCCTCCTTTTTATTTTCGGAAGGAACAGGTCCATTTTGACTCCCTTAACTAAACACCGAAAAAAATAGCACGTCGCCACCGCTCCGCCCTCCCCACGCCACCGCTCGCCCTCCCCAAGCCGTGTCTCCGCCGCCCGCCCGCCTCACCAGCCACGTCGCCGCGCCGCCCGCCTCACCCGCCGCACTCCCCTCTCCCCTCTCCCCTCTCGTCGTCCCACTCAACTCACCGCAGTCCCCTCTCCCCTCTCCCTCGCGTCGCCTGCCTCCCCTCACCGCTGCCTCAGGATCTCCTCCGCGCCGCCTCCTCGCTCCTGTAACGCCGCTGCGCGTGACCTCTCGCCGAAGATCGCGTACTCCTGCCGCTGCCGGCGCTGCGAACATCCTCCGTAAGCTCCATCACCCCTGTCATCCTCGCTGGTCGCCATGCCCAATTCAATCGCGTATCCAATACAATCCCTAATTTCACATCGCACCATGTCCCAATCGTCGTTCCCATCGCCATTCCGCTCCTCCGATGCAGCCGTCGACCTCCGCGCCCCGGTCGCCCTCACTTGCAACACCCGCCCCTGCTGTTGTTGCCGCTGTCACTGTAGACGTCTTTGCTCCCTGGTGGCGTCGTCGAGCCCTGACGCCACCCGCAACAGACGACGCCACTGGCAACACAGCTGCCGTGGCCGGCAACGTAGCTGCTGCTGGAACCGCTCGCTTCCTTGAGACGCTCATCGAGAGAGCCGACTGCCGGTGCGGCACTTCGACATTATGCTCTACCACAACGCTACAGAGTACCGATCAGGTTCAGCACATTATTAGGTTTCCTCGCGTTTAACTTCACACGTGCTTCTGTTCCTTCTGGTGTTTGTTCCCACAAAATGCATGTGGCATGGATGATGCTGGATGGAATGCTCAATTGATTATTCGATACAGTATCATTTGTTGCAATTTTTAGATCTTCTAATTAACTAGCGCAACATCAACAGATTCTGGTTCCTCTTTCTTTATTTTCTGCTTCCCATTTATATTTATGTTTGTTAAAAGAAATTCAGCACTAAAGTATTAAATGTTCACCCAAGTTATGTCAGGGTGATTACCCAAATTAACTTACCATTTGTCTGTGATATCAGGCTTGTTAACGACATTGTCTTTGTGCAGGAATGCCCGTTTATTGAAAAGCTATGGTATGTTAGCTACATTTTAAACGAACAGGATATGATTATCTGAGCTTTGTCCAGCTCCAGTATCTGAAGATGGGATGTTCAGTTTGTAATCATAGAACTCACGCGCAACAATCTTGCAGTGGAATCCAATGATTCACAGGTTAGAATGAGAGAGGGATGGAATTGGAATTGTCAAAGATTTCTCATACACCTATGTCGAAGCCCTTTCCTCTTTCCTTCTTTCTATTTAACAAGGGAATGATCTTGTCACAGAATACTGCAACGGTTTGATCAGCGATAAGCAGGTGATAAATGTTGGTGATTGACTTATGCCCAGGTTACCCACCTTGATTTTGTGCCTACCTTGAAACATGAAGCCTCGCTATGATTGTTCACCATTCCAGCTTACCAGCTATATTGAAATATCAATCTATTCTGTAAGTTGCCTTTACCAATTAATTATTACTCTTTGTTGATAATGTTCAGTGCCACTGAGCTTGTTCTTGCTTTCAAATATGGTGCTGCTCTCATGAATATTGATAAGGTCTTCCATCTCTTCATGGTAGTTTTGTATGTTTGTGCAGGTCTTCCAGATTACACATAGTTCATTATGCTTGGGACATAATAATACAGTAGTTGATATAAATGTGCAGAAAAAACTGAAAGAAATTTCGGACTGCTTAATATTTTGATGTGAGTGGATCACTGGTGCATATTGGAGTGACTGAACAATGATTCTCATTGGTAATGTTTTTCTCCTACCTTCTACTTCATTCGGTTTCTCATATTCCTTTCTTACGAATTATATACCTCCGTATTTAAACGACGTTTTATATATTTTTTCTGTAAATATTAAATGATAATTGCTCATTTTCATTTTTTTTCGTGGTAGTACACTATGAGAATTTTCCGAAATACTATGTCCTGCTACATGGTTGCTGAATACATTCAAGGGCATTGCACTGTCTTTTGATGAAGCTCCAAATCAAATTCACATCTTAATGCAATCAATTATCAGGTAATCATGTAGTTCCTTGGCAAGATCACATTGGTAGGTAAGTTAAGGTTTGCAACTGTGGTTGATGTCAGCAGGTCTTGCTATTTTTCTTTTAATTTAGTTTCAGTCCTCTAATGTTTTTATCTTGCACCTGTCACTTGCTAAAATTTTATTCAGTTTATATCCCTTTAGAATTTTCAAACTTAATGTGCCTTTCAGTTTTTTAGGCAGAAATACTAAGTTGTATTTATATAACAAAATTTGATGGAAACCATCATTATGGTGATTTCGCATAGTGCACTATGAACATGTCAGCATGTGATTTCAGGAAAGTCAGTTGATGTGTTTTCCTCAGAGAAATATTCCTGTTCTCAAGTCTTTCATACCAACATGTAGTGGTCATTCTCTCATTTGAGAGAATCCATTATATACCACTGACTTTGTCACACGTCTACGATTTGCCACTGACTTTATCATGTTCTACAATATGCCATCGACTTTTGGATCTATAATCAAACAGTACATTTTCATCGTTACCTGAAGATCATCTGTTACAGCTATTATCCCCCAACAATAAAGAACATGCGGTTGTTTGCGATGCTATGTTAGGTGCAATTTTTTAGTGTCTTTAATTAAAAAAGAATGAGTTTACGTGTGTACTGTGTTCATCACATAAATGGTTTCTCAAATTAATATCTGCACTTGGCCTCTTTGCATACCAAACTTTATATTTCTCTATAAGTACTCCAGTAGTCTACAAACTTTTGTTATCTTGGATTAACTTATTTTGTTTCGATATGCAAGTCATATAATTAATCTTCTTGTAGCAGTGAAATGGTCCAACCCCTTCCTCTTTTGATATGGGTTTTCAGCTGCTACTTTTCTTCTTTTTGCAGGAATTTTATTTGCAAATTAAGCACTCAATTCACTTCCCTCAAATTGATTCACAAACTTACACCCGCGCTTTTAAATCTGTGCAGTTCATTCATCTATGCAAACATAAATTATTTAATGTTATAATTTACTACTGTTATTCTCTGTCCCATGTTAAACCAAAAACCATGTCTACCATTGAAGCAATTACTGTAACAAGTTCATTTTGCCAGCTGAATCTACCCAGCCACTTTTGCTGTAGCTCCAACCAAAATAAGGTGGCTTTATGGTCTCTGTGTGCCATACAACTTTTATATATTAATTTAAATTTAGTTTTACATGGTCTGAACTTGGCCTTGCATTGCTTAAGAACTTGGTTGACAACAGTCTGAAATTGGCGTTGCATTATATGCCAACCTGTGTAGTGTAATGTATTGTTTCTATTCAGAACATAAACATGCATATTTTCCCTGTGAACCATTGATTATGTACTGAGTTAATTCCTGACAGCCTTTTGAAACGTGGAGTGTTTTTTTTAGGTTTTGTTGTTGTTTGATTGCCAAATGTTTATAATTTCAGTACAAATTTCCTGGGAGCAAAAAATTGCCAATCACATCTCATGTTATGTGCTCAAAAGAAACAAAACAATAGATGTCTGAACGTGCCTCTCATTTTCTTTATTTGGAGTCTTATTTTCTGCCGTGCTGATGACAAATTCTTTATATATACCTCTCATTTTCTGTATTTGGAGTCTTATCTTGTCCTTGCAATATGTGTGAAAAATAGATGTCTGAACATCTGCCAGATTAGTGTTTGAACATTTCTTATATTATTTTCTGAGCATTTGACATATTAGTTTATGACTTGTTCTTATGATGTACGAGTATCTGAATTTAGAATCTGAACTTGGGCAAGCATCTAAATGTTGTTCAATGTTTTAGTTTGCTGTGAGCTAATTAATGTTATGAATTTCTTATAGCTCAAGTATTGGAAGTTTACAAATTCACCGGTCGATGTAAGGTTTTTCTGGGTTTAGTGTAAACAATATACTCATATTACCATTCAAGGTTATCTGAACGTGAATATGTAATGTATCTGAATTCAGTGTGCGGACATACTCTTGCCATGTTTCTTAAGTCAGTGTATGAATATGCTCTTGCAAGCACTATTTTTCCCTGTATTTTTATTGTTAAAATATATATTATAAAAACGTGCTATGCACGTGCACTATTACTAGTTAGAGAAGACGACCACAATCCGTGGCGACGACGTTGTCGCCGCCGGCGCCGATGCGGCATGGACAGAGCAGCGACATTGAAATCTTCTCTCCTGGAGGGAGGAAGTGCGGCGACGGTGGCGCGAAGTGGTGCTGCGATCGCAAGTACGAGCTTGTCAGCTACGAGCCTACGACGCGCTCCCGGCCTTCCTCAAGCACAACGAGTTCATCATCGACTACTACCGCAGCGAGTGGCCCATCAAGCAGGCGCTCCTCAGCGCCTTAGTCGTCCACAACGAGACCATCTTCCAGACGTAATTAAGCACTCGATCGATCAAAAGCACGTATATTAGCTAAAGACGATACTCTACCAGTAGAGAAACTATCTTTTATCGGTCGACCAAATTCCATAATAGTTCTTGTTGCAATAAAAACCAGGACTAAAAAACATCTTTAGTCCCGATTCAAAAGGTTAGAGCTACTTTTTAATCTTTAATCCTAGTTCAAAAAAGGTAGGCGGTGTCAGACCCCTCCTTTACCTTTAATCCCGGTTGGACTAAAGAGCTATTTCTAGTTCCGGTTGTTAAACAACCAGGAAAAAAAAGATCCGCATGCGCGGAGAGGATGAGGCGTGCGCGCAACATCGAGGAGGAGGAGGAGGCGCACGGGATAAGTTAATAAGTTCTATCTCCTCCTCCCTCACCTTTATCTCCTCTCCTCACTCACCCCATCTCTTCCTCTTCCTCCTCTGGATCCGCCCCCCTCCCCTCTCCTCCCCACTTCTCAGGAAGCGGAGGCGGCCTCGCGCAGTGGCGGCGGCCTCGTGTGGAGGACCGCGCCCGGTGGCGGCTTGCGCGGAAGGCCACGCGGCGGCAGGCGGTGGAGGCTGGCGCGGCTGCACGGATTTTTTTTTTCTTTTTTCTTTCTTTGTGTTGAATGATTCGATCTGTGTTGTCTGTGTTGAATGTATGATTCGATCTGTGTTGAGAATGAACTATGTTGTTATGAATGTTGTTGTGAATGATTTGGGAGGAACTATGTTGTTGTGAATGATTTGGGATGACCTATGTTGCTGTGAATGATTTGGGATAATGGACGTGAGGTATACAAAATAGCAAAAAAAAAAGAGAAAAAAAACTTTACTACCAACCGGGACTAAAGATCTTTAGTCCCGGGTATTTGAACCGGGACAACGATCTTTAGTCCGGATTTGTACTACTAGTTGGAAAACCGGGACTAGGGTTACCAATCGGGAGTACAAATCATTTCTTCACCAGTAACAGTACAGGTTGTGTGTTTTGATTGACAAGTGTGCTTTTCTTTTTGCTGTATCTTGGCAGGCGATCGGCTTCTTCATGTTCATCGCGCTCACCGTGTGCACCGCCACGATGGTTCCATGGAATCCTCCATGTCTGCTAGCTTGGTGACGTCCAAGACGATGGCCAACAACTCCGCCAACCCAATGGTATTTGATGATGATGATTGATGAGCTACGGCAGCACCGGGGCGGTCGCGGCGGTGCAGGCTCTAAGCAACGTGCCCGTCGAATCAGAGCTCGCGGCGGCGGCGTGCCACCAGGTCGCGCATTGGCCGGAGCGGTAGATGCAGGGGAAGTTCGACCTCACCGGCCAAAGCCACCAGCTAATCCACGTTATTGTCATCGCCGGAGTGGTCTACTTCAGCTGGAGGGACAGGGCACTGGGCAGACGAGCACACGGTGACGGTTCCGACGAGAGGATGGTTGGGGGGGGGGGGACTGTTAGTGATATGTCCTAGAGGTAATCATAGAGATGATTGTATCACATACTATGTTTACATATTTATCCGACATTGTTCCTTGAAATAGATAACTCCTTATTGGTTAATGAATATGTGATTCTTTCATGAGACTCTTTATCTTGTTTGTTACTATTTCTAAAGGATCCCTGATCAAATATCATAAGTGGAACAAATATGTTTATATGATCAGCACATGTATTAATTGATGATCATGTCTCATGGATCATGGTATAGAGATATCAAATTAATAATGTGGACACATGTTGGTGAACATGTTGTTGGATAGACCCAACATGAGACATTGCAAGAGCCATATGTGTTGTGTCATCAGTGATCTCATTTAGTGTTGGTGTTGAATCCTTAGACCTGATATTATCATGGTTCTCAACATGTGTAGTAGTTTACTTAGGGACCGCTAAACGCTACTCCGTAAATGGGTAGCTATAAAAGTAGTTTTCGGGTATGCTATAAAACATGTAGTGGGATATGAATAATCAAGATGGGATTTGCCCCTCCTATGGAGAGATATCAATAGGTTCGAGTGAATGATTGAGCTATTAGAGGATGGTACATATCTAGCCTTGAGCTTAATCGATATCGTGAGGCAAATGGCTTCATACAAGTATACACTAGAGGTTCAGCCGATATGATCTTTATGTATGCCCGGTGGGTCAATACGTTCTACTAGGGGCCGCTGTTGACGCGTGGACCGAAAAGGAGTTTTCGGGTTACAGCCGAGTATATATGAACCTACAGGGTCGCACGCTTAATGGGCCGGAATAAGGGGATTGGATAGAGATCCAATATGAGCTTAATTCGGATAGGGATCCAAATAGGAGTCCTACGGGCCTTGGAGGCCCGAGTGATGGATCCTATATATTCGCGAGGGGTGTGACCAGCGAAGGCATTGCATCACGTGAGAAACCCTAGCCGTCACTTCCCTCCCCGAGCAAAACCCTAGCCGCGCGCGGGTGCTAGCACATCTGCGCGTGGCGTTCCGTCCCTGTACGTGTGTATACCGGTAGAGGCGCCACTGGTTTGCGGTGCTGATCGGCGTGGGAGTACAACGAGGAGAACGCACGAGGAGGAGAAGGTCGAGCCGGTGCGATCGACTACTTCCTCTACATCGACGCGCGCTACTTCGCGAGAGTTCCTTCGACTTCTCAGCGTCTTCTTCCGCTGCGCAGCGCGTCGAGTGGTAACGATCTATGATCTAATACTTGCATGGTTCCTGGTTTACGCGATAGAAAATTTTGATTTATGCTATCGTAGCCTACGCGTATCACAACAGGGACGGTCGACGGCTTCCGCGGGCTAGTGCACGCCACCCTGCCCTGACGTGCCGCCCGTGTCGCCTCCGCTGCGTGTTGTGTAGGCACGACGCTGACGGGATTGGAGGCGACGCACGTCCTTCGCCGGATCCGCAAGTGCCTGGCTACTCTCGGTTCCAAGCTGCGCCCTCCGGCTACTGCCACCTGTCGCTTGCCCCTGCATCAACACCCATCCCCCAGCCCCCTCTCGGACGCCGATGGCAACCTCCGCCGCCCAGTACCATCGTCCTTCTGCCGCCTCGCCGCCGCTAGAGGAAATATAGAGGAGAGGAGCAGAGGAAACAACCACTTACATACGGGCCCCACAGATTGTTTGGTTCTAAGGGGATTGAAGAGGATTGGAGAGAATAGAGAGGGAATAATTCCACACACAATAGGTGTGGAATAAATCCCCTCCAATCCCTCCCTCACGGGGATTAACTGAACAAGGTATGGGGAGTCAAATTACACCGGCTTTAATAGCTGAGGGATGAAGATATATGGTACTGTGGTAAAGGGATATGAAGGTATAGTTGAGGGAGTAAAAGTGGACTTATATCCCTTTTCGGAATCGCTATAAATCTTTTGTTTTTTTGGGCTGTTGATCTATCCCGAGATTTGTGCGTAGATAGATTGGGAAAAAATTAACTGAGATGGCATGGGCTGGGGTATCTATCGATCCCGCGTCCTCTGCTTCTCCACTGAACCCTCATCATTATTGGGCTAACTAGTTTTATAGTTAGTACACCATGTAGCTATATAAGTTAGTGTAATTATACCGTAACTACAATGTAACTATATTCTAATTTTTATATAACTTAGATATAAAGTTGTATATATTTTTAATACTTATATATAAGTATATATAGGTTATATTGTAGTTGTAGTATAGTTATGATAGAATTATATTACAACTATAAGTTAGATTAGAAAGTTTTTCACTCAAATAACTTATGGCAGTATTTGTTATATTTTTTTTCTTCGCAAAATTGGTTTTATAACACTGAGAGATATCAGTTCACTTTAACACTTCTATCAATTCTCAATCGTTTTTCGTCTACGCTAATAGTTATTGATCTAACCACGTACGCAATATGACGTTTCTACCTCTTATTGCCATGTATTCTACTTATACTTGTAAGGAGTAGAACCATCATATCCTGTGCGTGGTTGGGTCAATAGCGATTAAGGCGGACGGAAAGTGTTAAAAATGGGAATGTGGTAAACTTTGTGTGCTATTAAAATCAACCGATATTTTTCGATGCTATAAAAAAACATAAACTTTTGGTACTATATATAACCAATGTTGCCTTTTTTTTATATATATATCCCTAGCTGTACTCTTATCCGAACTAATTGACATCGATCCCTCGTGTTCTTCAGGTTCCACGGCAGCTTCAAATTACCGAGACATCATATATTGAGATTTTTTTGCGAATGCGTAAAAAAATTACATGTCAACATTATGAGTCATATATTGAGATTGATAAACTCATTAATTATTAGCATAATTTCTCGTTGTCGATGTTGATGTATCATTGATGTTTTTTATTGTTTTGATACGTATCATCATTAGTTGAAAGCCATAATCGTAACCAAAAGTTGACGGTGACACTATCGATCAAAATGCTAGATCTGCCCCAGGTTTCGTAACAGCCTGCACACAGGATTTCATATATATATATATATATATATATATATATATATATATATATAGACACACACTACCTCCCTTCTAAATTAGTTGTGTCGCTTTGATTTTTTTCTTGTAACATTTAACCATTCGTTTTATTTGAAGAAATAGTGCAAATATAAAAAAAAGAAAAGAGATACTTAAAGTACTTATAATAATGAAGCAAGCCGCAAATAAAAATAATAATATTTTCATAATCTTTTTAATAAGACGAATGATTAAACTTTATAAATAAAAACTTAAAGCGACAAGTATTTTGGGACGGAGGTAGTATATAGCTTTGCGTGCCCCCTGCGTCGTCCGATCCCATCCTCTCGTTTCATTCAATAATCTACTGACACGACACAGCCAGTGTAAGATTAAACACACATTTGTAACTATATACTAGTGTATATATATCCTTACTGGTGCTAGTGCCTAGTAGTACCGGTTTGGTTCGTGCAAACCGTGCAGCGGCGCTGCCTCATCCGCGGGCGCGTTTCGGCGCCGTACGCGATAGCGACAGTAACCGGGCGTTAGCCGGGACAGCGACGCGCCATGGTAACCGGGTATACCAGGCCGCGGCCGGCGCGTGCCGCCAAAGCTTAGCTGTTAAGCGGTAAAATGAATATCTTCTTCATGTCACTAATTAACCAGCGATCTAATTATATGTACTAGAGCGAGGCAAAAATTAATTAAATTAAAGAGAAAAAAAGACAGTGTCACATACCCGGCCCTTTGGTTACCTCGGAGAGGACCGTGACAGGATGATATACTTGCAGCTGGTAACGTCACCATCTTGGTTAATTAGTCCAATTAATTAATTAGCAACCTAATTCAAAGCAAAACCGACTTGTGTTAAGAAGATGGATGGAGTTAATTAAATAGATTAACTGATCCGACGGCGCGCGCTCCTCTTTTGTCAGCGATCGATTGGCACGTCGCGGGGCATGTGGCCCGCATGCGCATGCGGCGGCCGGATAGATCGATCGTGTGGTTGTGGTTGTGGTCGACGCCCACGTCACACCCCCCCGGGCCCCCCAAAAACCCTGCCTGATGACCGCATCCAGCACAGGCTAGAGCTTATCCGTAGCGCGTGCATCATATCAGCGGCGCGAGTCGTCGATAGCAGTAGCACGGCCGCTGGACGCCCAAACCGCGGCTCTGCATGCCGGCCGGCCTCACTACTCTACTATTAACCCCTTCTTATCCCAAACCTAATTGCTACGCTACACCGCTACTCTCGATCAATATATGCATATCATGCACGCGTACGTAGTCTCTGAGCA